TCCTTTTTCAAAGTCCTGTAATTTTCAGTGTAGAGGTCTTTTGCTTCCTAGCTTGTAAAAGGAATTATTTCCCCAGTTTCTCTCTCAATGAGTCTGCTATTTGTGTATAAGAAAGCTATTGTTTTTTGAGTGTTGACCTTATATCCAGCTACTCTACTGAATCTGTCAATTAGGTCTAGGAGACTTTTGACTGAGTTTTTGGGGGTCTTCTATGTAAAGTATCATATCATCAGCAAATAAGGACACTTAAAATTTTTCCTTTCCTATCTTTATTCCTTTTTTTTCTTTCTCTTTTCTAATTGTTGTGGCCAATGTTTCCAGAACAATATTGAACAGGAGTCGTGATAGTGGGCATCCTTCTTAGCCAAAATATTATCTTGACAGATCAAGGAATGGACACCAAGTCATGAAAATTCAGAGCAGAAGCCCCAATTGTTCCTATCAAACCAACACCCATTATAATATGATTACTTCAATAGCAGTGTCAAATATTGACAAGTGTATGGGAAAACATGCTTGTTTTGGATATCCTAAAACCTGAAATGTATCCTCTTGCTGAGCAGAGAGATTGTCTTTGCTCTAGCTAGTTGTATTATCTCTCTTATTTAATTTCTCTACTAATCCTTTGACATCTGAACCCTTGATGACCTAAGTTTATTCCCAGAGACCACCAGTCACTTAGCTGTGGCCAGATCTTCTATAGGCGGAATAACCCATCCAGAGTCTCCATCCGCAACCACTGTCTTTACTGCTTTCACACACGATGAACCACTAACCCCCTATCCTAATCACTCCAGTGCCTGTGCCAGCTCACCCTGTCTCTTCCTCACATGGATGCCACATAACAGTTCTTGTCTCTATCACTAGACCATAACTTGATGACTGAACTGAGTGTTTCTGCATGTGACTCCTTCCACATACCCTTCTGACCAATAAGTAACAAACTCTTTCCAAGGACAGTCATCTCCTGGTATTGACCTGGCCACACCCAAGTAACAATAAAACCAAAATTTGTAAAACAATGATCTCTATAAATAATTGTGGGGAAGCCCAAAGATGAATACATTAGACATTCATCTGTGTGAGGTAGGTAATAGTAAATTCTGAAATAATCAAAATGACCACAATAGTAAATTCTTAAATTACTGATTATTCCTATGATGGGATGCAACATAATTATCAAAAGTGCCGAATAATGTTACTTTTAAATGTTTGTCTTTGAGAAAAACAATTTACCACTTCCTGTGAGAGAAAAGAGATCATATATTTTCTATTCTGTCCTCAAATCCTTCTAAAAAGAAAAAATACAAAGTTTGTAAATATACAACTGACATGCATAAACAGACATAGAGGAGATAACGGCTTTTGGAAAACTGGAAGGAGGACAGAGCATTGAGAACTGTGTTTAGAGAAGAAGTGAAAGTCATTGATAAAGAAGCAAGAA